TTTTTTTTTTTTTTTTTTTTTTTTTTTTTTTTTTTTTTTTTTTTTTTTTGGTCTTTGGGGAATCAGCTACTATTTGGAACTAAAAGTTTAAATTAGACTTTAAGCAGTTGGAAAAAATCTACAACAGTTTGCTCAATCTGAGTGTAACTAAGCCTGGAAAATAACTGTATTCAAAACTACAAAATAAAGCAGTTTGAGAAGTTCATCCCCAAGCCCGTAATGAAGGGATACCCAGATGGGGTCCCCGAGGTCCTTCAGTCCAGCACCCCAGTGACACTTCCTACTCCTTTCCCAACAGGCACACCCACACACTGCATGGGTATGCAAACTGTGCGCTACACACTTGTTAACTCACATGTATTCAATTCCCATGTGTCCCCTCGTGGAGGTGCACATTCTTAAGATTTATCTGTAGCACATGCACCAGTGCAAGCTGTCACCTGTGTCTGCCTAAACACGACAAGACTCTCATTGTTCACCACTCTAGCGGTGACATGCAGAAAGTGGGGTCTGATTCCCACAGGTAGTTGTTGCTAAATTCCTTTACTGCTTGGCAGTCTCACTCATCAGCTCCCTGTCACCTTCTTAGGACTATATTGATAAAGACAATAAGCGGCTTTTGAATGCTCCTCATGTATGATTTTACTGATTTGACCCAGAACTCTTTTGGTCCTTGATAATTTAATGAAAGTAACAAATATCAATTGAACTGAACGAAGATTTCCTTTTATTACAATATCTGTATCGTAAAATGAGTATTCGTAGGGCACAAGTATTTGTGTGAAGGCTGTACATTTCAAAATGAAAGCTAAGTTCAGTGCCAAGAAAGCAACATCAAGTTTGCTTTACCTGTAACAGCAGTGCCTAGATTTATCTCATAGCCTCTGTGAGCTCTCTGGTTTATGTTTTTCTGGCATAACTGGTGCCTGCCTGTCTTAAGCTGGACGTGGTCTTTCATAGAATGGAATTTCCGTTAAATGCCCAAAGACCTGTGGTACATGGAAATGACCCCTTATTGTCTGATTGTGCCACACCCTATGCACACCCCAGCATGCCCTGCCACAAGAGGAAGGGACAGTTGTCACGTAAACCAACTCTGTTTCTTACCTTTGCTTTATTACTGAATATAGAAATTCTGCTTTACCAGCAAAGCCCTACTATATAGATGGGATTTCTACAAATGTTTTTTCATTTCATAAAAATGACTAAGAATTAAGAAAGGTTCTCAAAAGGAAACCACCCAATAGTCAAGGAAGAGAGCTTTACTTATTTAAAATATTTAAATAGGAGTAAGACCACAAGTATACATTTAACACACAATTACTGAATTTTTAGATTGTTCTTTATGGCTTTCAGTCTTTGACTTAACACATCTGAAATAAGAGTACAGGCTGATGAATTATCTTGATTCATAATTAATATACTGCCTCTCTTGTGTGTTTAAACCATTGAAAGCACAAGGAGTTAAATGTATGGTACACAGATTTATTTAATGTTCTCCCAGGATAAGAGCCCAGACCCCAGAACAAGATTCTTGGATATCACTTCTTTTATTCCAAGTACCCTAGTCGCTGTTTTGAGACCTCCTAACTGTTGTCATAAAGTAACCAAACATATGTCCCGTGTAACCCTTTTGCTATTTGAGGGTGCACATCATAGTATTTCACATGCAAATTCATAATTGTATGCTGAAAATATACTATAATTCTTAGAGTAATGTTAGCCTCATTTGTCTTTCTGCAATTGCTGACATTGACATTCTGTTTGTGAAATTGCACTGTGGTCAGGTTCAAGTGCTGAGACAGAAATGAATCATTATCCCTTTAGGAAGGTCAAGTTCAGAGATTGGAGAGGGCCAATTAGAAATGTGTTCTTTTATAGCATCCTAATATTCTAAGAGATTAAATGTGCATTAAAAAACATGTTTCCACTTCATTGTCAAATCAAATCCAGTGCGAATAGTACTTCTATTTTCAGGCTGGCTCCAGTCTAACAGGCCTGTTATTTACTCCACAAGGAAGCCCTCCCAAAATTCACAGGGAGACAAAGGAGAACTGGTCTGGCCCTTTTGGAGGAGAAATCCTGCGGAGCAACTTCATTCTCTTGAAACGTCAAAAAGTCTCCCAAGGTCTAAGCAGAGCCTCAGTTTCCCCATAACGACATTTTCTTAGGTGTCTCCCGGGGAAAACCCCATAGGAAAATATTACACTTGTCAGCCTAACTTCGCTGTTGGCAGTGAAGATGAGAGTTGTTCCCTACAGTGCAGAGAACATGTAGAGGAAAACCCTCTCTGCTGGGAGACACACATTACTCTGTCTCATGCAGAGGAGAAATCAAGTTGGTAATGTTCATGAAACCCTAACTCTACAGAATAATTCGTCTCCATGGGTGCCTTGCACTAGTTTTGAATTTAACTAGTGAAGTAGATCAGCTTGGTGAAATTTCCTTTCTCTGTCGTTAATTATTTCCCATAATTCCAAGAGAAACCTTAAAGTTCCTTGGTCACCTTCATTGACAAGCTGAATGCATTAAGAACGATAGTCAGCCCATTCAGTCCCAACACTTGTGTTTTTAGAGATCCCACATTTTCTAAATCTACAGGAGAGAAAAGAATTAGACAAAGAGAGCGCTCTGTATTTGATCCCAAATGTGTCCAAACTATATAGAGCTCTGAAGTATTGACAGAATTTTCTTAAATGTTGTGAGCAATATTGTTATTTTCTGCCTTACTTAACTATGTCTCTAGATTCAGATACCATAAGCCTTTCAACCAAGACAAGCCTCTTCACAATTCGGAAATAGTATACTGGAGCAAATCTAAACTACCACTGTCCCCAGCAGGAAGAGAATGCGTGAATGATGCCTGTGTTAACACTTCTGCCCCAGCGCAGCGATGGGCAGACTGAGCGTCAGGACTGCTGAGCCTATGAAGTCTCCACGCCACAGTTGCAGGAGCAAGGGAGAAAGAGTTTTCATTTACTCTGATCTTTTATGAGCTTGTCCTGTGAAAAACATGCAATAAAGTAATAAAGAATTAAGTTGGAAATAGAAGTTTCTGCCCAGGTGCAAGCTATTACTGTTAACTGATGACCCAGCTTGCATCTTGACAGAGATACCTAATGGGATTTACTGAAATCCCATTAAATAAATGAACACATTTGATACCCCTGTGTGTAAATCATGAAACCATGGGGCAAGGACCGAGGCTGAGCCGTCCCTCTGGCAGCTTGTGACAGCTCCCCAGACTGCATGCCTTCCATTTGTGTAGGCCTCACGGGGGGCGGCACTCTTGCCAGCCCCGCACCTTACTGTCCGAGCGCAGGGATCAGCGCCTCTGGCTCTCTGACCTGTACCCTTGGGAACCGGACACCCCGGCAGGCCCAGAGGCGGGGGGGCAGGTCGTGAGGAGGTCCGGCCGTGTGCATGTCTGCCCTGACGACTCCCCTTGCTTCTGTAGGTGGGAGGCCACCCCGTGGACCGCGTGCTCCTCCTCGTGCGGGGGGGGCATCCAGAGCCGGGCAGTGTCCTGTGAGGAGGAGGACATCCAGGGACGGGCCACCTCAGTGGAAGAGTGGAAATGCATGTACACCCCTAAGATGCCCGTCGTGCAGCCCTGCAACATTTTTGACTGCCCTAAATGGCTGGCACAGGAGTGGTCTCCGGTAACTGTGCCCTCTTTCTCGTTTCCGTAGGGGAGTAAGTCCTCTCTTCCCGCCCCTCTCGCACCCTGGCCCTAGGTTCCCTGCCCAGCTCCGCCCTTCTCTCCACTTGTCTAGAAGCTGCCCTTAGCTCCTGGAGTAGGAATGTTCCGGTCCAGCATGACTGAAGTGCAGGACTTCTTTAAACGCTTATGTTGATTTTCCTTCAAGGGAGTTTCTACTGCATCCCTTAATTGGGTAGGAAACTGCCTTTCTAGAATAGCTGAGGCTGAATGATTGAACTGTACTGTGTGCAAGCTGCTTTGATGACAGAACTCAGTAGACCGGAGTTTAATTTCATTTTTTATTATCTTCTGTCTATATCCAAAAAGGTTCTGAGTGGGTTAACATTAAAACCATGTGTATGGGTCATCAAGGGTAAAGGGACAAAAAATGAAAACCATAAAGTAATTTATATGGGAGTGAAGAAGAAGAATTAAAGCAAAAAATAAGAGCTATTAGGAAACTTGCTGTTACTAAGCCTAAAATGTTATTCTAGGTTTCCTGGCTGCTAGTGCAAAGAGGGAGATGGGAAATACATAAATATATAGAAGTAAACCATTATCCTCTTATCCACAAAATGGCAAAGCACTCCTCGCTGAGCCCTGTAGCTGTGTCACTGCAGGCAGGACCTGTGATATCTTCCTTATGTACCAAAGGTACAGAGCCATTACAGGTGCTGTGCATATCTGCCTATTGAATCAGTTTAATCTGATTCAATTTTTTTTAATCTCAATATAATCGGTTGGATTGGCCATGCTGCAATACAAACTAGCTCTGATGACAATTTAAAATCTGTTAATACCCATGTGGGAGCTAGCATTTCCCATAGTTTTGGACATTGCAGTCATTAGCAAAGTAACTCAAAAACTCAGTAATTAAATTTGAGCCCACTCTAGTTTCTTTTGTCCCCTTTTTTGTTTTTGTTTTGTTTTTTGTCCTTGATTTGAGACTTTGCAGTGGATGCTCCAGGTTTGGTGACAGATTAATCCAAGCCTAAGAACTTTAAAGTGATTTAATTTTCAGCTAGCTTCACCTCAAATAGCCAAAGAGAAAAAAGATGCCATGACTGGTAAGAAGTGGTACGAATCCGCCAGGAGTCCACGTATGAAACAGAGTTCATTTTTGAAGTCTTAGGAGGGAACTGAAGGAAAGAAGGCCTCGCCTGTGAGTCTCCTCTCACCGTCTCTTTCCAGTGCACAGTGACATGTGGCCAGGGCCTCAGGTACCGCGTGGTCCTCTGCATGGACCACCGAGGGATGCACACAGGAGGCTGCAGCCCAAAAACAAAGCCCCACATAAAAGAAGAATGCATCATACCTACTCCATGCTATAAACCCAAAGGTAAGTCAGCAGATGCTCTTTACCAGTCTGTTCACTGTTTTGTACATGTGGGAGCAATTTTTAAATCCTTGGAATTTTTTATTATCCCAAGTATTCTTAATAGTGATTCTTTGTAACTTAGACACTACTAAATGGACTTGATTCTCTTTTAAACATTTCCAGTGGTTTTGATTGCAAAGTTTTACAAAGTCATAAAGTGATTTGAAGACTATTGCTGGAAAATGTCATGTATGTCTTCCTAGAGAGAGATGAGATTGTATGGAATTGTTTGAGCAATTTACTATCCATATTTCTTGCTGTTTAAAGTGAGGGAATCTAATTGTCTACCTGAAATACATTGGGAAGTCTCATACTTCAACGAAACAGAAAGCTATGTTTCCTATACTGAAAATTAAAACAAATATGAGAGTGAATTCTAGAAGCATAATTTGAAATGAAAATGTGAAGTATATAACAATTTAGTCTATACTGGAAACAACTTTTTAAAAGAAATTTTTGAAGAGTTCTACTTAATGAGCAGGATTAGCTCAGGTTAGCATGAATACTAACTAGTCTCACTTCTGTGCTGCTGTTGCTACTCGTCTACCAATGAAATGGGAAAATCCAAAGTTATGAACAATTAAATTGGAATAAATTCTTTATTGTGAGCCTCTTCCAATTTTTAACATTAAGAATAGTTCATATTTCTCTTTAAGCCATTGAATTTCCAGGAATATGAGCCATAATCTAGCCCTTTGTTATACCTCCAGTGTGAATGAGTAGTATCATTAGATCTAAACCAGTAATTTAAAAGGAAACCAAAATCTGAAAATATATCAGAAATACTAATTACTTTTAATAAAACTCTATCTAAGCCTCAATTTTCTCATCTGTAAAATGAGGGGAGGACAGTATCTATCCTAGAATCGTGTGAAGATTAGAGGAGATATAATGTAAGAAGGTACTTAACCTGGTGGTTGAGATGGTATGTTCTCTCCAAATGTTACCTCTAACCCTAACTATCATCAGTGTCCTCAAGTGTTGGAAGAGGTGACCATACATGCATCTGACAAGATTCAGTCCAACAGTAAGTTGCTACAGCCATGCAACATGGTGCCAAACTGGGCTGTGTGTCACTGTGAGGTGGAGCATTTGCTCTCTTGTGCTCGGGGATGGCCACACTGGCTGAGCCTCTTCCTTGGGGCAGACACAGACACAAGAGTTGTAAAATGAGCTGTGTGCAACCACCGTGTTGCTGTCTGTCAAATGGTAGCAAACCTTTTAGCTTTGGAAATTTAATGTTGCTCATTCACTGCTTTCTGACTATAAACAATAACTGCACACTGAGGACACATAGTGATGCTCTTAACAAAAAATAGTCAGTTTTTAGATCTAAATTTACTGAGCCACTTCAGAGAAGGAAAAGCAGTTTACAGTTCACAATCAAGAATAAAATCTGGATTTTTACAACTGAGATGTAAGCCTGGCTCTCTAAACATCATTAAAATACCGTATTATTCTATGGTGTGTGCATATATGGACATATTTCTTTCATCTTTGCAATTATGTTTCCAAGTGGTGATAGAGCTTCATGGCTCATACTATAAAGGCAAATGTGCCTGTAAAGGACCTTAATGAATACGTCAGAATGGGAATCTTGGCAGCTACTTCTGTAGGAACAGTTGGAGCCTCTCTATTCCCTTTTCTCTGCATTTTTCCCCTAAGTAGTCAGGAAGCTTGTTCTGAGTTATTTGGCCAAATATAGACAAATAGATAAAACAAGTCAAATTATAGGTTATAGGCCCATTCTTACTTGTCAGTGAGCCTTGGGGTGGTAGTGAGATATATAAAGCAATGTCTTGTGGATCTCAGAGTGGCAGAGTTTGTTTTTAATTATGTAGCATTGATCACACTTACCCAAAAGGCAAAAACAACTATGAAAGTATGAAAATGTAATTTATTATATTTTGTGTTTGTTTTAAGAAGTGTGAAAGATGGTTTGATGATCCTCCACATGTGTATCGTGCTGGTTCTCCTGGAGTTAGGGCTTTTGTAATATAAGGAATTTCCTTTGCTATTCAGTTTCATAAAGAAGAAGCATGTATACAGAAACTACTATTATTAAACGTTGTTAAAATCTAATTTCACCTTTCTTGATAAAAGCATCATTCTCAGAGGCAGCAGCAATTGACCTAAAAGCGCATTAATTGCAGTTATCAACATAATGACTTCAGTGTTTGGTGCAGTACTAAGATCTGTGAGCGGGGCGGACATTTCCCTGGAACCCTCAGTTGGTACTCACCTCCTCTCTGTCCTGTGTGCGCTTCATCCTCAGAGAAAGTCCCAGTGGAGGCCAAGCTGCCGTGGTTCAAGCAAGCCCAGGAGCTGGAAGAAGGAGCTGCTGTGTCCGGAGAGCCCTCGTAAGTTCTGAAAGCCCAGTTCTCCTTGCAGCAGCCTCTCCGGCTCTGGCTTTCCTGTGTTCCGAACCAGGTGCAATCACCTTACCAAAGGCCAGGTGAGCCTTTGTGGTTCCCCCAGAGATGTGTCCGTTTCAAAGGGTTTGTTACAACTTTACTTACCTTCAAAGGCAACTTCAAATTGTCTGGTTCATCCCGTTTGAAGCCAAGTACTTTGCAATTTTGCCTGACATAGGAAAAGGCAGGTGGAATGCTCGCCCTCTTCTCTAAAATCCAACCCTCCTTTTTCTCTTGGAAAGAGTCCAAAGGTGAGACAGGCCAGGCTGCTCTGATGCTAGTGTGTGTGGTTGAAAGCACAGGCAGCTTTCCATGCTCCCGGGTCTCAGCATTAGCGTCTTCCAGACATTCACAAAAAGCAGAGGGTAAGTGGAATCATCAGAGCACAAAAGGAGCCTAGCAGCTTTTCCTCGCACCTTTCTTGCTGGAGCTGGTGACCCAGGAAGACCCCGCTTTTTTGCTCCATTTGCTCCTGGTCCCACACCTGCTCGATTTTATTAAAGCCATGAAGTTTGTAAGACCATTAGGAACAGATCTGCCAGCTGCTTCGGAATAAAAAACAAGAAAGACAGAAAAATCAGATTGATCGATCAACATAGATTGGTTCTACTGAAAAACACTAATAAGCACATCTGCTGCATTATTTTTACAGATAAGAAATTATAGTGTAGTGGGAAATCCCACTGATGGCCAAAGGAATTTCTCAGGTTGAAATTTTTCTAAATCAGTTAACTTACTAGATTCTGTGTTAGTCGTGGGTACCTGCAGCATGTTACCCACCCTCTAGGAGTTCACGGCACAGTATGTAGAATATGAAATGGTCTTCAAATTCAACCTATAGTGTAAATTTTACTAGAGATAAAAAGGAACACTTTAATCTACAAATTCAAATGTAATTTAGAATTTTCTCAGAATCGTTCTGAGTTCAAACCTCATGTGGTTTCCCACAACTCAAATTCTGTTCTGAATCTTAATCAAAATAGCAAAAGATTCAACAAGATACCAAAGTACAGATTTGTATAATATATATAATAACCATGTATAATAATTTGTATATTTTACAAAGGCCATTTGTAAATAAATTGTATTAAGTCACTTAATTTCACCTAAAAATGGTGCATATATCAGTTAATACATTTTTTACATGAAAGGACAGATCAGCAAAATGTAAATCGTTTCTGGACTATCAGATTACTACAGCAGTGTTTGCTGCTTCTTGATGAGAAGCAGCTAACCATGGCAGAACATTGGAAGAAAGATGGTGGTTAAAAATCACAGTGCAACATTTAAGTGATTATAAGAAAACAGTGCTTGCTCTCTCTCTTTCTCTCTCTCTCTCTCTCTCTCTCTCTCTCTCTCTCTCTTTCTCTCTGTGCTGTTTTGACAGGCCTTCTTGTTCCTAAAAAGGAAGTGCACCATCCATTTTATGGGGGCACTAACTCCGAATCCACCAATGTCCAGCTTAAAATGCAGAAAGATCCATGTCATTGGAGCTGTTCATTCCTTATCTGTGGCCTTTGGTTAAATGTGTTTAAAACCAAATATTTATTAGTTTACTTAAATTACCTGCTCTCCTCTTGAAACAATATCTTGTCATTCAGCCTAAACCACACTCCTATCTGTAGAACACTGCATTCTGGCTACCATTAAAGAATAGAACACCCAAAATAGATAAATAAAGTTGAAAATGAAGAAAATATTTTATATTCATAACTTTATTTCTTTCCTGCTAGTAGATACTTCTGAGTTGAAGGCTTCTACAAAAGCATTCATAGGCCAAAGTCACTCATATTGTGTGGTTTTCCACTGAAGTTTTGATTAAGATGGTTTTTGCTTAACTTTAATCTTTTTTATTTATTTTTTTCTTTTATTGAGCTTATTGGTACATTTTAGGTATACAGTACAGTTACATTCATCATTGGGATCTTGTACCTTTACATGACAGGTCTTGGTTCTCATTTTTTCCCCTTGTCCCTGCCCTCCCTTCACCCACTCTTCTCCTCCCCATTTACAAATACTTTATTTCCATTTTTTCATTTTCTCGTATTTTCCCTTATTACCTTTCCCCTACCCTTCCCACTTTCCCTACACCTTTAGCTCTTTGCTTTACTTTAATCTCGACAAGAGCTCTCAAGCAGTTAAACACATAGTTCTAGCCATTGAAACTGTAGCCATGTACTCGACTATTAAGTTTTATTCTTAGTGTAATGGTATTGCCATCTTGGCATGATTGATCTGAATTAAAGTAGATTGAAATTGGAGTTCCGCATAAAAGGAAATGTATACAGTTATGTTCAGAACAACAATTACTTTTATACCAAAATGACATGAACGGCAGCTGGAGAATGAAAGGTATATGGTTTCCACATTTTAATACCTTTCATGTTTGGTGCACTGAACCCCAGGAAAAGCCCTAAGTGTCACATTTTAAAAGCTGATTTTGAATTTCAAAAACATAATTGTGTATGGTCTTAATTCCTTCTTCTTCAAACCACATGGATCAGTTTCTAAATGTGAGTAGCAACCTATAATTACTCTCCAAAGTATAATGAAATAATGTCATCCTGTCCGCAGGCCATTCCTTTTGCCTGCCATAGAAACTCACATTGCTTAATCGAATGGTGATGTTTAGAAGTTCTGGCTGTCACTTCTGGGCTACTGCAGTGAGGCTGTTGTCCAGAACTATTATATCTTGCTTTGGCTCTAGCTAACACTCATGAGTTTTACAGCAAAGCAGCAAATATCATTCCTTTCCCCAGATGGAAAGTGAAAATACTATCAACAGCCTGTCTCATTAAATAACACAAGAAAATCATTGTATTTAAGTCTTTAGCATATGGACATACCCTTACTGAATGTCAGATATTTTTAGTAGCCCTAGAATGTAAGAAAAAAATATGTGTTAGCACTCTGTCCAAAAATAGTTGGAAAGCAACTTCTGTAAGTTATGTGTAGAAAAAAACTATGACAAAAGACTAAAGATGACCTGCCAAGAAATAACTAAAACTTTGCAAAACAGGAAAATGTATGGACATTGTGGTTCCACTAAACTAAACACAGAGCAGAATGTAGGAATACAGATAACCATCTGCTAGAATCATCGAAATATATACACAGACTGGACCACAGCGTGGTCATATAGATTTATCATGTATTGCTGTGGCTTTAGCTCAAAAATACCTTCAGATATTGTTTTGTTCCCAAAAACAGGATGGTTTCTGTATGATGTGTTTGATTCTGCAGTAGGAAGGTAGGAATATTGTGGTGAATGTATTTTCTCAGTATTCAAAAGCAGTTTCCTAACCCATTTGAGGAAGTCAAACCCTCTGAGGTGATTTTTCACTGCTGGCTATGATTTGCCTTGATTCAAACACAGGTTTTCATCTGTTTTTCCTGACCAGAAGTGGCAAGAATCTTTCAAGTAGTTTTTTCTTATCTGTCCCATTGAGCCATACAATAACGAGTGAGATCCAGACCCCAAACTGAGACTGAGCAGAGAAGACACTTGAGCTAGTCAGACAGTCGTGTAGATAAATATTCTACAGCGAACTTGCTCCCAGAGTCCAGGTAAAGAATCGATAGAAATCCTGCTAATCAGCAAATACCAAGGGACTTGTGGTTAGCCTTCTGCAGTGAAGATTCTGTTTCTGTTCCAAGTATGACTTTTAAATTTGCCTCAGACTGATGACAGTGATGTTAAGTTAGGATACATTATTTGAATGCAAGGTTAAGGCTACTTGGTTGTTGCCACTGAAAAATACTTCTCATTTATTTGGTGTTGTGTCAGAACTACAATGTGGTATCACAGTTCCGGTTAGAAGGAGGAAGTCAGGGGGAAGCTAAAATAAATGACTGACAGAGCTCTGTCTCTTTCTCTTGCTTATAACTTCCTTCAGACTTGGTTGAAATGTGTGCACAGATATTACCAGCCTTTAGAGGCAAGTATATATCGTAGCCCCTTTGATAATTTAATTTCTTGAGGAAAAACGGGACAGTGGGGATGACCGGGACAGCTGAAGAACTCACACTGAACAGGAGTTAGCCAGTAGGTCTTCCTCCAAACCCTTTTCTGATGTGGGATTAAAAGAAATTGTGTGTTTCCTCAATTCCTTCATGTCACTGACAGGCCACTGCAGACCGCCTGAGCCCTAGGAGGATGATTTCTAAGACAGCCAAGTGTAAGAAAAACAACTGGCCTAAATGATGCCGTGCTCTTCCTCTCTCAGCCCAGATGTCCCGCTGTGTACACCGAGACACCCCGGGTGGAGAGAGGAGGGCCACTGCGCTCAGGAAAGCCAACTCCTCCAGATGCATTGCGGTTCCTGGGAGCTCTGCAGGGGTCGGAGGCGTTTGGTGGGTGTGGGGGCTTCCAGGGCCCTGCGAGCCCACACAGCCTCATGCCCAGCAACTCTCATCACAGGGCTGGCACTGGCCAGGCACAAAGTTTCAGTGATGCCATCTTCCCACAGGAAGACTGGGCAGCCCTTGTGCCTTCATCTTGTGTTTGAAGAGGTTTGGTTCTCTGAGGAGCTCCTCAGACAGCAGCTGTACCTGGTTAGGACGCCATTTGAGGGTTTTCGCAGAATATTCAGGCCTTAAACGTATAGCTATACATAACCTTGGTGTTAACTATGAGGCAGGAAGAAGAGAAAAGGATGAAAGGCAAGGAGCAGAGGACAGCAGTGGTAGCTGAGTGCTAGATGGCATGAGGTCAGCGAAGGTGACAGCGCAGTGTGCGAAAGGAGACTTCTGACCTGCACTCATGTGAACGGAGCCCCCAGGAATTTAGATCCAGAAAGAAGGACTAACAGTCGCCAAGGTGATCTGTTCACTAAGTGCCTCGCTTACCTTGATGAAAATAGCATTTAATATATAATATTTAGGCATGTGTTTATATTAGTTCATATTTACCCTGTAAGTTATCTGAGAAGGTGGGTAGCTTAACT